CAGCCAGTGGACGATGAGCCAGAGCGCCATCTTTTGCCCACCACAGGCGCCTAAACACACCTCGCTCCTGAACCTCGAAATTTTCTTCAAGAATGGGGATTACATCATCACGGGGATTACATCATCAAGGTAATGCTGGCCGTTGAGGTTGCCATGAAAAAAACACCAGTCCGACGATGCGGCCACTGCCACAAAGGCCAACCCAGATACTCACTTTCTCATGTTGAAAGTTGCGCTCGTAATTGAAGGAGGTGGATGTTGTGTGGGGATATACATGTTTGTACTCTTGAACATTGTGTGTGTTGACTTTTCTGTCGAGAGAAAATCCAGCTTCATCATCGATGACAAATCCCACATCTGCTTGCACCTGGTTGATGACCCACTGACAAAAATTCATCCGTCTTGGCAAATCCGACAGTAGCAGCCGATGTCACAAGCGCATTTGGTAGGGGTGCATGCCCAGGTCCAGCTGAGTGATGCGATTGAATGTGGCATGTGGTAGGCCCAGTCCATTCCATCTCACACTGACATGCGGGTTGGCATCCAGCTACGCCTCCACCAGTGTTATTTTTTCCGCCGACCTCGCTGTCAAATGTCGCCAGGAACACCCTCGATTAAGATTGAGGCTGGTACCCTCCCTCCGGTTCTTTCGCAGGTTTCTCCAGATAGTGCTAGCTGCAGCTGGATCTCGATCTGGGAATCGCTGCATAAATGCATCGATAACACCATTTACTCTTCCAGTACGGATGTACTCCATGACACAAAAAACTCTCTGCTCGTTAGTTAGCTGAACACCGACCATGATCAATGTCTGACGAATAATAGTTGACAGTTCACAATTACACAAGTTAATTAAGCACATCTGGAAAACTGTTTAGCAAGTAAACACTTTTCTTGCTATCAGTTTGTAAACATTTTTACCAGCTAAATGCACATGTCCAATTCCTAAACATCAATTTTCAATGGCTAAACACTATCCGTCCTCCTGCTAAAAATGTTTAGCATGTAAACATGTTTACAAACTGATAGCAAGAAAGTGTTTAGAATTGTATTTTCTCGCTAAACACATGTTTGTAGGCCAGGCAATTATCCACACAGAAGCAATTAGGCTACCTTTGTCCCAATGCCTAAAATTGAAAACTTGGTCCCATGGTCAATTTAACATCTCTTGGAAAATTACTGTTTACTCTGTCCAAAATTATCAGATTTGGACGTTTGATGTTCCATTTTCAAATGAAAAGGCATATATTTCTTTCAAGCCATACCTATATTATCTATGTTGATTACGCATTCTACATGTAAGACTCAGTGGTACAACCAGGATTTGGCTTGGGGAGGGGGGGGGGCTCATAATTTTTTTTCCAAATTTTTTAGAAGTTAAATTTTTTTCAACAATTTTGCCCTAAGGCTGCGTCTTGAAATTGAATGGGCGTCAGCACCCGTTCTTTCTGAAGGATCCTTTTTTAACAAAAGAGCCCTTGACAATCCGTCCCAGCACGGGCCAGAACGCTTCATTTAAATAACAAAAGGTATGAATATGTCCGATCTTCTGCAGACCCGCTGGGCCAGGCTCAGTGCCAGAGAGACTCATCTCACCAGCACATGAAGGAATGTGATGTGACTAGTATTTTAATTGCGCAGTAATGTATACAGGTTCAACCTTCACGCGAAGCGAAGTCAAAATTACGTCTTGACATTTGCTGCAAACTAAATTCACCATTGTTAAAGTGATCAACTTTTAATATGCGCCAAAAATTGGCGTTGGCTTTCGCACTAGTGAGACCGGCCTTTATTCATCAATTTTTCACTAGCATTCACGAATTCTCTTACCAAAGACTAAACAACAAGAGGATTTAAAACCATTGTCATGATATAAAAAATACCTTTGGTTCGAGTCACCCACGCGACGGACCCTTTTTTTTAAGCGAAAAAATGCGACTCAACAAAATGGTATTGGTTTGGATGGGGAAAAAAATATTACGATAACGACTTCTAATCAAATTGGTCAAATGCAACATCGCCGATTGCCCAAAAATGTATAAGCCTTTTCAGCAAGTGATTTTTTTCTGGTTTTATCCGAAAGAAAACATGGTGGTTTAACGTCAGTTTGCGTATCCAGTAAGTTAGTGTGTCGTCATCTCAATTCAACCATGTGTACTTCACACAAGGTAGCATAGCAAAGTAAAAATGTGCCAAGCATTCTGAGCAAGTCAGTGTACCAGACGTTTTTCAAATTTAAATCCCAAAGGGCATCTAGGTCACTCGCTTATTGTGACAACGGTCGCGAGAGTTGCAACCTGACTGATAGTCTACTACCGCATGTATTATTGTACGCGGATGGCATTGGTCCATTGCCAGACTTACATGAAGTCTGGCACGCAGTAACAGTTATAACGTGTGCACGCATGTTGTGTGTTGTTGCATTGTGTGGAGCGGGATCGGCCGTTGCCAGACTTGCTTGACACGTGGTAATGTGCGCACACATTATCCCTGTTGCTGCGTTGTGCAGATGTGGAGAGGGATCAGAACTATACTTTAACCATGCCAAACAAGTAATGAACGGTGGGCTGTGTGGCATTGTCTTGCCGCATCGCGGTGTTTTCTTCGCGCGTCTGGACAGAATGAAGGTCAGGGGAAAAAAATCGCAACTTTGTTGTTATGAGTGGTATAGACCTGACTCAAAAATCAAGTTATTGTTTATTAAATGGGGATTCCTTTGATATCAATTATTCTGTTAGTATTGAATATTGAGATTTATAAATTATGTGAAAATGATAATGTCAGTCTTACAGAATTGAAACTCCTAAGTTGGCCATTTTGATCAACTTGGAATGCAAACACCATTGATTTTGTTGTGTACTCCTCTTTACAGTGACACAATAATTGTATAAGATTCATAAAAAAAAAATGAAATTTACCGTCGTGTATCTTGCTTCACATGTATTGGCTCCAGAATTTTTTTTTTTTTAAATAAAATGTCGTGCCGACCGACCGACCGACCCAATTCTTTTTTAACCTTGTGACATAGAAGACGTGTGATATACTCCGCTCTTGCTGTCCACCATGTCTAGGAAAGATTTCGGAGCTTCAGGGCATTTTTGACTTCTTCTAGATATTTGCTAAGTACAGCATTCCACTTTGTGCTACCCGAGAAGAACACCTACAACTCCTGGATCACATTAAACATCTCCTGCATAATGAGACTGCTGTTGCAAGCATGCTCAACATCAGTGTTGGTCCTGTGTGCCTGGCAAGGTACATATGGAACATGCCTATCTTTGTTTATGGCTTGGACACCATTTCTGCAACTTGACAATATTGGATGCAAAATCATATGACTGGAAAGCCAACTTCTCGGTATCCAGACCATTCCCTTCTAATGGATATCTTTTGCCTGACCCTCACCAGTCTTTCCCTTGGTTTCTCTGACTTTCAAGAGACTTTATTTCACATTTCCTTTGGCGTCAACAAAGCGAACAGCAACTGCCATTGGAAGTATCAGGGGTTCCAAAAAAAGAGAGAAAAGTACGGCCGCACTCACATCCTCACTAATCTGGGAGTGGACATCTATGCCCAAAAGATCAATGAATTCATTCTTGGAGGTTGGACTCAATGTATGTTGTGTGGTAAGGTCGCAGACGTTTCTCTTCAAGCCACTGTTCCATCACTGGAGAATGTTGTGCCAACAGTTGGATGATCTGCCACAACCAATATGTAAGGTGTAAACATCTAAGTTATGAATAAAGTCAAGTAAATACTCTATATTATATCAAATTCCATCAGTTCGTTGAGTGCGGAACTGCCAATCCAAAGTGGATCGACAAATCAATAAAAAAAACAAGTGGAATTGGTCATAGTGCGACAAAACTTTACTAACGAAATCAGAAGATGGACACATGGTCGGCCGACTGCTTTCATTAGCTTTATACTCCTGCAGAAGCATGGTGTGAGTAGTGTTGTATTCCCATCCAAAGCTCATTAAATTTCGAACTGTTAATAGCATGTAACTCTTTGGTTGTAGTTCAGATGAAATAATGTGAACTAAAAACCCGAGAGCTGATACAAGAAGACAGGTCAGGTTTGCTTTGTTTTTGCAATGTTGTTTGAGAAAAAAATGAAATGTATGAAATTATTCAGATGATTACTTTGATTTCTTAATCTGGTACATGTAGCTGCTTTTACTGTAGTATTCATTGAAATTGCATGAAATTGATCTCACAAACTCTTCTCCACAGGTTTCAAATATGCTAAAACCCAGGAGCTTCAGGGGTTGACCCCCGGCCATTGGACGCTCCATTCGCACCACGCTTTATTTGGTTACAAAATATTTTCCTTGGTTTTTTTTATCAGCACCCATTCTCATGCATGTAACTACATAACGAGACGAAAAAGTAAATAAGGTTGGTTATGATAACCAACGATACTGAATGAAAACAACAAACGCGATGTAATTGATACTATGAGCAATAAATGCTGCATATTGCTGGTCTCGAGTCGAGACCCTGACAATTTCTTTGGAATGACATCCTGTGTCACTGGAAGTTCGAGATATAAAATTTTATGCAAGTACTGAACACATTAGTGCTCGTTACATTCAGGAATGTAAGTGGAAGGTGTCAAACACATTGGAAGCGATCCGTGGCTACATGTATGTATATAGCCACGTTCACAGGTCTAGCACACGGGGTGCCAGAAGTAGATCCAGACCCAGATCAAGATCACTTCCAAAATCTGATTGATTTGCACTTGTACCAAGGACCACCCCTAAAACAATTCTCATACAATTACGTACATAACTTTTTAAGTTGTCGTGTTAACAGACAAACCAACCAACAGACCAAGGTATAACCTCCCAGGCACAGGTAATTAGAAAAAGATTGACTGATGTACCATACATGCCTTTTTGTAAATTATACAAAACAAATTGCTGTGTGTTTTTTCCTTCAGAAAAGAAACATTACAAATCTAAAAGGGGATATTTTTTTTTTGTCATTATTCAGGTGTTCAGAAATGGTATAGAAGTGTCAACATTAGATCTCAGCAATGAAAATGCATGTAGCTGGATGATGTTTGTACGGTTAGCAACTACATTTGATGAACAGAACTTGGTTGCCTATCAGTTTAACGAGGACATCTACTTCGCTACTTGTAAAGTAAGTGAATATAGTGAAGCAAAATCAAATTTCCAATTTTTAGAATATTACTTTTTTTATTTATTTATTATTATTATTTTTTATTATTTTTACTTTCTTGGATCTGTTGTTAATATTTGGGTCTTTCCGTGAAGTTGGGATATGCTTGTAAGATTTTAACACAGTTTAAGATAAGGTATACAGGGTCACTTAGTGTACTTGTTTATTGTTGATTTTGATAGTAACGGTTTTAACCCTAACTCCCTAGCATGATTTACCAGGAACCATACCCATCCTGGCAAATTCCAACACCATATGGGAAACTGCACGCACATATTTCTGATTTTGATTCTGGAGTTGTGCCAACCCAATGTAAAAGACTGTCAGTTTAGGGGTACTGTACCCATCCTAACAGATTCCGACAAAACATGCCGTTGGGGTTTGATGGGTTTAGTTCTGTTAGGGATTAAAGAAAGTTTCAGAGCATTTAGATGTTATTCGGCATGATGTCTTAAGAAAAACAGGTTAACATTGCTACATGAACACCACCATGTTTGGTAAATAGTTTGGTAAATATTTTAACATTTTTGGCTCAAATCCCCCCCCCCCCCCATTACCCCAAGTAATTAGTTGAGAACAGTACAGACCATTCTAAATTTCGGAAGTTTAATGTAACATTTTAAAAAGTTTGACACTTTCCATCAGCTAGCGGATTTCTTAAAATAGCACTAAGACTTGAATTAATATGCCTAAACTGCAAGTTTAGAGTGCAGAGATGAAACTTTTCTGATTTTCATCGGAATCCGACTTTTTATGAATTTTCCAACGAAATTTTTGATTTTCTTACAATGTGTCCCACAAAATTTGATTTTGTAACGATTTTTTTCACAAAATGTCATTTTATTTCAATCATAATTTCGAAGAAAAGTCAATGAAAAGTTGATGGAAATGGCACGTTAAAATCATCGCAAACGTAGTTTTAATCTCTTTCACCAGTCGTTATTGGAGTGTTTCATCAGTAGAAACACAGGCCATAACACTGATCGGAGCCTTCTCCGGCTGGACAAAAGGTTAAACATTGACAGGTGACATGGAAAAATAACTGTGTCGCACGTGCGTGTGAAGATGATATGCAATGGTACCAGCGTACCTACCGCACCGTACCATCCGCTAGCACATGGCCGGTCGGGAACGGGTAGCCTTGTGAATGATCCAGTGGATAAAATCATTATGTTGTGCGATTTTCGGAGGTTTCAGATTTAGTTGTACAAAATGCAATGCTTTAACCTAGGGGGTATGCAAAATCGTATTAAAATTGGAGGATTCAGGACTGTTAGGGTTAAAAATCGTGATGATTATCTCGAGAATAGCGAAGAGAGCATTAGCGAAACATTTCACTGGCATTTGTTGGAAGAGAAAGACCATAATGTGCCTATCAATTGTTTCCCCCACCCCTCCCCTCCCGGGTAAAATTTTGTTGGAATCAAAATAAAGAAGGAGTCGGTGTCCAGAAATTGGGTATGAAGTGTATGGTACATGCACGTGCATGTAACTGTAGCGTGGCCCAGATTTCGGTCACGTATTTTTGTTTGGCCTATTTTCCGATTTTTTTCGCCTTATGCCAGTTTCATCTCTGCCCGAGCCAAAGGCGAGGGTAATTATCAGCACCCAGACTCCAAGAGGTCTTAAACAGAGTGATTAATACCGAGTCGACCAAGCACATATTTATTCCCATTCATAAATACCTTTTCGGTCAAAAAAATCAAAACTTTTCGGTCAAATAACTACGATATTGTTCAACAAGTTTACTTCATGTGTTTTGAAACACCCCTCTAGCTAAATAATGGAGTGTCCAGCTAGCGAGTAAGCTGTAAAACAACTCCCTTTATGAAGATAAAACAACTCCCTTTATGAAGATTGGCTTGCGCGTACTGCGCGATGTCGCACACAATGCACCTGGGGCGTTGCGTTGTGAATTTAGGACTATAAAATTCTGACTCACCGGTAGTATTGCGCATGCCTACGTGAGGATTGTGAACGTTCAACCAATAAAACGGTAAGAGGCACTGGATTTTTAGGAGTCCAAATTTCATGTGACACTTTAAAAGTGTTTAAGACCAGCTAGCCATGTCTTTATCATCCGTTTAAGACTGGCCACATGACAGGCTCTCGACCAATAGGAATGGGTAAACTGTCTTACGTATTTATAAATTATAAATATAATGGTAAATACCATCCTACTGCTCAGAAACATTCTGAGGACTTCAAATAAATATTGATAATAATAGCATTCTGGTTACTCTGAAGCAAACCCTTTTAATAATGCATTATGTCCAAATGTCACAAAATGTTCCCCAACTTCATGGAAAGAAAAGAAAGTTACATTGTATTAATTAAATTCATCTTACAGGAAGAAGACAACCTGGTACCCGCTAATTGTAGAGACAAATAAGGCCCTGGGTCTGAATGACTTGGCTAGTGGCTGAAATAACAAACGGGTGTATGGGAAGAGGGCGATGGGCACGAGTGAAGCCGTAGCCAAGTTGGCTGACACCATGCATGTGACAACAACCTTTCAGCAAGCAAAAGTGTTTGCTATTAAAAGAGCATGTGAAAGCTCTATCTTGGCATTCTCTTACAGATTAAAGCGAGGTGTGAAATGGTTATGAATGTAATGTACTTCTTGTCAATTCTGAACAAACATTCATTTACTGTAAATTGTCAATAAAAAAATGTGGTAAATCTAAATAATAGGCCTATGCCTAGCCTGCCTAGTGTGCTTTTTCCTTGTATATAATTTGTATAGTGCTTTTGATCTTTGTAAAACAGGCACAGTAGTTTCTTTGTGAAATGTCGGAGACATTATTTCCCTTCGGCTAGTGGGACGACCCCCCCCCCCCCCCGACAAATGGAAAGATATCAAATTATTAGAGGCTATGGTGCGTTCGCTTAGCTTCCTGTGTATACACCGGGGTTACACCCGGGAAGCCACGAGATGAGGCTATTGACACTGTGGTGTATTTGCTTAGGCACTCTTGAAAGTTAAGGTCAAAGTTTTTTGGGGGCGCAACTTTAAAGTCTGCTTCACTTGCACATATTTAGTTTTATCACTGTAACGAGATCAATAATCGCTGACATCGGAGTACATGCTCTGAATTATTCATTATTACTGAATCCAATGCAGCACCATTAATAACTGGCAATATTTGTGTCATAAATCTCTCCACTATACTCACTTTGCATTCAAGTTTTTGCCATCTTTAGTCTTTCTATCATGCTTCATCGCTTCAAGGCACCATATAACCCCACTTCACTGTTGGAATCCCTCAGACTCCTGACGACAGGCAGAATATATTGTCCAAAACGTTGAGTACCCTCCGGTTCTTTTCAGAACCACACATACTCACAGAAGAGATTTTGCCACATGGTGCTACTGCAACAACTTCAAATCTCATTTAGTCTTCCTATCAACGAAACCGTCTGCTTACGTCAAACACACCCGGGCAGCAACCAGAGACCTGCTTGCGAACTGGGGAAGTGGTGTACCGTGACACCGGAGCAAACACGAGGATCGCATGATGGATAATCGAACAGGCTCCTGAAAGTTTTACTTACTGTAAGCTAAACGAATGCACCCGTAGCCAATCAAAAGACAAAGTCATTAAGACGCAACTGATTATGTTCTCGCTTGGTGTAATGGTCTACAACGTGGCCAGTGGGGCGAAATTCATAGCTATCTGGTTAAGCTTCAAAAGACCAGCTTCCTGAATGTGTTGTTTGTACCGCCTGAAAGACGTAAAATCCTATACACCTACGTTGGTTCTGTTCGCTAGTACCCCCTGTTTGTTCTGCCCCTTAATAGGTAAGAGTGAATGTATTGTTTTTAGTTTTTCGTGGGAGTGCACTAGCGGCACATTTTGCACGCAAGTCTGATGATAAATTGACCTTCCGGAATCTGGATTGTGTTGTTTAAACCGCATGGAAGACGCAAAATTCGAATTATCAGTTTTAGTGGTAAAAACCTTGTGGTAGGATACGGGCGATTCACAATGCAGTGCGCCACCAAGAGTTTGCCACAGAGAGTTCATTTTTCCCTGTGCATTGTTGGAGATGGTCGACAAATTCGCAGCACCGGACATTTGAAATTGTTAGTTTTTTCCATTCAGTAGTTTCGTAAGCGTATGTTTCGAGGATCTGTTTGCCCTTTTCTTTTCTTCTTATCAATATGGTGTTTTCTGTAAGGTGAAAGAACGCTATGCTCCAATCTATAACATATTAGTACGGAAGCGTATTTAGGACATGACCGAAAATATTTTTTAGGCCCACTACTTCACCCGGGCGGATTACTATTTCGCCCGGGCGGATAACTATTTCGCCCGGGCGGATTACTATTCCGCCCGGGCTGACCGGGCTGATTACTATTCCGCCCGGGCGGATTACTAATTCACCCGGGCAGACTACTAATTCGCCAGGGCAGATTACTAATTCTCCCGGCCGGGCAGACTACTAATTCGCCCGGGCAAATTAGTAATCCGTCCGGGCGAAATAGTAATCCGCCCGGGCGACATAGTAATTCGCCCGGCCGAATAAGTAATCCGCCCGGGCGAATTAAACTCCACCCGTGATGTCACCCTATTGTCCTAGCGCTCCATTATTTTGCACGAATGGAGCGTTGGAGGCGATACCTCTCCATTCTTTTGGAGGGTAATAATGCCTCCATCACTCCATTCCTACAAAATAATGGAGCAGGAAATAAAGAAACACCAAAAATTACACAATTATAGTTTTGCACAGTTGCAACTTTACTACACCTTTTGTCAATGATATTTCTTATATATTTCGTACAATGCTTAATACGTAAGTCAAGAACCATTTTTTTTTCGCACAGAATTTTCTCATAAGTCCTACACCGTTTCTCAAGTGGAATTTTATGCATTATTCGTACGATTACGTGAAATTTAGAACCATTTATGTTTCTTATATAGCATGCTACACCGTTTCTCAAATAGAATTTTATGCATTTTCTTATACAATTCCTTACAGTGTTAAGGCGAAAGTCGCGTACCATTTTTTTTTCTTTTACAGAATGTTTGTATATAGTAATGTTACATGCAACAATGTTTTGACAAGGTTCGCAGTACAGTTTATATCTCGATCTTGTTCCTGGGTTTCAATGCTAGCATGCAGTCCTAGAAATTCTTGATCGGCAAGAACTCATCATCCTGAAAAAATGTGTAGGTCTTTTCCATGGTGTCCAAGAACATTTGAAGAAAAATCACAAGTTCGTGCAATGTAAACCCGGAAGACTTGTAGCCGTTTTGCTTAAAAAATTAACCAAAATCTTAATCTTGCAATTTTGAGTGGTTTTAGCTCGTCCTTCCTTGTCCAATGATGAGTAGTTATAGTCTCGAGTTGCGTTGGTTACGAAGTAGTCCGACTGGAGACTGCCCGCTAGTTTGGACCTTCTTCGTAACACTATCCACAGTCTGTAAAGCCAGAATTAGAAGAAAACAAAATCAGAAAAGTAGTTTTTGGGTCAAACAATTAGACGGAAGCATAAGGTCATATTCCTGTAAATCCACTTAAGTCTTACAAAGCCGTAAAAGGCACAGGGTAGCTTTGACAATTGCAAAGTGACGACACAGAGAGCTTCGAAATAGAACAGTCTTAGTGCAAACACGATTTCTGAATAAACTTCATCAGATAGCAAATTAAACAATAAAGCTTAATGTATCTGACATTATCATGCTAAAAATACAACATTTAAATTTTTGATTTTATTAGCTGTTATTTTTACTTGACAAAAAGGGTAACTTTTTACCTTTATACTCATACATGCAATCTTCATATTCATTTGGAGTGTCGAAATGAACTTTTATATGTCACAGGCAAAGTTTGAAGCAGCCAGTAAATTATCATCCGATATATCCACGGAGCTAGTTTCAGCACCTATCAAGGACGGTTTCCTGGCCCGCTATAATTCCACTGTATCCCACGTACGGCATTATTTCCTGGGGACGGATCTTCCAATACTATATATATCCTAAACCAAATAGATCTCGAGCCCACTCGGCTAAAAAGTCAAAGAAATCATGATGATCTACCAGTAGACACCGTTTTTCTTCATCAGAGTCTGACGAGGATTTGTCCAGGTTATAAATAAAAAATTTGTCCAATAATAAATCACCGAGAAGTTATTCCACAAGCCTAATTTCTACAAGCATTCCACTTAATTTCAGCATCATTATCAGCATCATTAATGGACATTTTCCCACACACTTTTATACCCATCATGAGGAGTTTTCAGGTTCCTATACAGCCATATGGTTGCGAAGGCGAAGCGTGGCCCCTTGATAAGCAAAGTTAATCCGATTACGTACTTAGACGCTATAACAGAGCAGTGAAATTCTTGAACCCCCAAAACATGGCCTTTTAAACGTTTTGTTTCTCAGAAAATATGCTCAGTATGATTGAAATGTTAAATTATAACGGAAGAAGAAATTCTAAACTTCATGTCAGTGAAAAAATCACTGTCATCGATGCCGAAACCTGAATACTGGTTACTGGTAAAGCTGACCTTTAAGTTGGGAAGAGATTGTTTGAAAATGTCCCCAAATCTATGTATTTATTTCAATTCCTAGGAATTTCATAAAGTTGTTATTTCAAGAGCAGTTGAACACTTCTATCATCTTAGTATATTCCGAATTTCAGCTTAATCTGTTGTTGTTAATGCTAGTGTTACACCTTGAACTATCTCCATGGAAAATTTTGATGAGGATTTTTTGCCGACCACACCACGCGCATGGTTTTCAGCAAAGATTCTATAGCACTGTAGGCGCTATAGTTGACCGATTTCGGCCTGGCAAAACAATGGACGATCACATATTAGCATATTCATTAGCGTCACTCGGCGTGACTTGGCGTGGGTCTCAGTATTGTCCAATGGAAACCGGCAAAAAGGGTGATATTTATTAATTAATAACTTGTGAAGAAGGCTTTCTGCAAATTTTTACTGCACACCATAAGATTGACAGATATTGCAAACACCAGTGTTACAACTTTTAAAAATACACGTAGCCAGGCCTTTTTTTCCAATTTCAACGAAAAGTAATGAACATATCACAACGATTTTTAGCACTTACTTGGATCATTATAAGGGAAATTAACCCTGAAAGTTGCATGAAGATACGGTCTTCCAAACGGGAGAAATTAATTTTCAAAGATTTCGCCCACCGACGTGAACATGTGGTTTCATTCAATTTTTTTAGAAATTGCCCTTTAATAATAATAATAATAATAATCGGCATTTAAGAACGCTCTTTTTAGTAAACTAAATCACAGCGCTTTGCAACCACACGGCTGTATAATGTCCATCATCCACAAAACTCAATTGAGTATTCAGAAATTTCCAAACAGTTCTGCCTGGTCATGTATATTTCATTAAAAAGGCACTTCTAATTTCAAAACATCAGCACTGATCCTTGTGAAACTTAGATGCAAAATGCTTGAATGTTTGTTTGATTTATTGATGGGCTTTCATACAAGGTGGAGATTGGAGATTTCAGTGGTATTTGAAGCAAACAAAGTGCATCCTTATCCTGTACAAATGATCCTATATGCCTTTAATTTAAGAAAGTTTTGGTATTGCTTTGGGTTGAAGGGTAATGATTCATGTATGTGAAAAAGAACTACATGATTGTTGAACAATATTTCTTTAAAAAAGTGACTTTTTAAAGACACTTGAAAAGGACTTACTACCATTCAAAAGCATGTGCTACCTCTGTGTACAAAGTAAATGTTAAAGTTGAAAGTAGTTGATGTTCAGTATAGTACGAAATACAAGGTAAACCCAAAATGCCCCCGCTAGGTTGTAAACAAATTGTTTTATATGTGACTTTTACAGCCTGTGGCACCCCATGCAGAACTCAGAGTGTGGTATGCTTCAGACTATGCTCATACCATGAATGTGACATTACTGTGTGCAAATAAACCAGGTAAGATGATGTTTCTATGTATAGATCGTATGCGGAACAGCCATCTTGGAGGATATCTTTTGTTATTTATTTCAGTACAATGAATGCATAAAAGGTTAATTCATGCATAACAGCAAAACAAAGGCATTTGTCCTCTTAGATGGCTGATGTGCAAAAGGTCTGTTACTATTTCTTTCACCAAGTTTTCCCCATGGACAAATGATGTATTGGTTTAATATGACACAACTGTTGCCAAGTTTCTCTTTTGATCCAAATAGTACTTTACACTTAGCTTGCTGTCTCATAAATTGTAAGTATAAATTGTATCAAAATGTACTGAATATTTCATAAAGAGGCAACTACAAGGAAACATTGCCTCTATGAAAGAGGCCAAAATCAATACTGTGACAAGCACTATGACCTGGACGGCAAAGGACAGACAAAATATTTTTTGCTGTTTATGTGGACTTGCCCACGTCCACGCAAGGCTTCCCCCTCTCTGGAAACAGGTTTAGAGAGAATTTTGGGGTTAGGGTTATCTGTCGCATAATGAAGGTGAACACTCAAGGAAATCATGATAAAAAAAGATTTGGTTTGAGTGTTAACAGTGTGAGTAAAACAATGTTTTTCTCCGTTATTTTCGCCGGGTTTTTCTACACGAAAACAACGGAATTTCCACAATAGGTATGTAAGCGTTTGTTTATGGTGTAAATCGAGGACACATGTGCAACATCATCGGTGTATCGAGGACAAGAACCAAATCGAGGACGACCTTGATTAGAAAACGTGTACAAAACCAATGAGAGCTGTTGTGAAAAAGTTAAATGTACAAACAAAGGAAAAGGGAAGAGGAACACAAAATCCTTGGTCCACTTCACTCTACTTACCTGTAGAGCAATACTACTTATGCATATTCCCCCTACCGGCAGGTATTTTACGCTAAGAGTTATATACAATAGCGCCCTCTGGCGCCCTACCCATAATACCCCGCGGCAAGCGTGCCTCTTGAGCGTCCTCTTTTCTCTTAGCGGCAGGTGGGGTATGACGTATAAAAATACGCTCCGTATTTTCATTGTATTTTGATACCATTTTGTGCTTTTTAAGAGAAGTATTTGATTAGAGAAAGTGTAGTAGAGTATAGTAAAGGTAAAGGTAAAGGGGATGAACCTGTGTTCACAGGAACAGAGTGCCCATCTCTCTTTCGTTAGCGATTGGGCCAGACTCGTATGCTGCTGTGGGGGGATCGCCACACCACCTCCACACCGAGTCTGTTACCTTCCCAGCATTGAATAATGCCGGTACCCATTTAACACCTGGGTTGAGAGGAGTACTTGAGGTAAAGTGCCTTACTCAAAAGCACAACACGCATGGCCACAGTGGGGCTCGAACCCACAACACGTGCCCTCTATATAGAGTATAGTTTCGTCTTATTGAGTGATAAGTTCATTATTATGAAGCGTTTGGGGAGAACCGTCCCACGGGACGGACCGAGTTCTCTGCTGGTATCGCTCCGTCGTTACCACAGCCGAAGTCCCTCGTCCAGCACCCTCAGCCACTGCTGGCTTGGGGCATTGGCAGTTCCGCTGACCAGGACCTCGGTCTCCTTCGGTCAATTCAGGCAGGACACCCAAACAGAAGGCACACTCCGGCAAGGTTCCTCCAAAACATACTTCCTGTACCGAAGTGAAGCCTAAAAAGGGCCGACAGGGCAAGCGTGGCTCGGGTACGAGCGCCGCTATAGCCCCCGGCTCTTCCCCGAACGCTGGGCAGCCCGAGGGGACTAGCCGCCATGCTCCAGTGGGCTCTAGTCACCCGTGCCCTCCTGACACAGTGCCGAGTACCACTGGTTGCCAGGACGGGCTGTTGCACGGGCTATCAAACCGACCAGCGCTCACTCAGCCCACGGGGCCTGAAGCGCTGTCGGCCGGGCAGGTTATAAGCGACGTGGAGCCGGTCGCCCGGGGATATCCCGGCCCGACGGCCCCCGGTCTATCTTGCTCTGAGGGACCATTCTCGTCATCGGACTTTTTCCATTGTTCGGGGGTCCCGGTGCCCAAGGTGTCTTCTGACTTGTCGTCAGACACTCCAGGGCGTTCTTCAAAGAAGAAGAGCAAGAAGAAGAAAGCTGATCGCCGATCACGCTGTTCTTCTTCGGATTCTGACGGCTCCTCTGACCGGTCCCACCGGGGCAAACGCTCCCGACGTGAGGACTCGATTTCGAGGTCTAATTTCCTGCAGGCATTTCAGTCTATTTCAGCTACGCTATCGGCTATGTCTGCAGGCCGCCAGGCGGGCCTATTGGTGGCCCCCCTGAAGCGGCGAGCTACGCCCCACAACCATCGGTTGTTGGTCTCGCCTCACAATCTTCAGTCACCGGTCACGGTTGGGTGGCCCGTGAACAACGGGACATACCGCACACGGTTAGCCTTGCTCCGGAGTCCCCGCCTGCAGTGAATGCTTCACAGTCATTGTTCATTGGTCACGGTTGGGTGGCCCAAGCACAACGAGATATACCACGCGTGGTTGATTGTACATCGGAGGTCGGCCCGCAGCGAATGCCTCATGTGCGTCGGCCGTGGGCCGCGGTTGGATGGACCAGGGACAACGGGACCTACCGCACACAGTTAGCCTTGCGCCGGGATCCCCGCCTGTGTTGAGTATTCACCCATCGATGTCTGTTGTCTCTGAGGGAGTTGCACAGCCACCACTGCGTGGTTCTGTACAATTTACCCCTCCAAACGGCTCTCGTTCACCAGAGTCTACTCGGCCCTCACAATCGGCTGATTCATCCGATGATGACGAAGAACCAGACCAATTACACCGGCTGTCCATCACTGAAACGGAACTTCGTTTAGTACAGAGAGACATGATACGGGTACTTAAATTACCCTTTGCCGATGAGCCCGCTCCGACCGATCATAAATCATTCAAGCGTCGGACGGGCTCCACATCTAACAGTGACAAAGTGTTCCCCAATCTTCCGTTGGATCAAGTATGTGTGAAACACATCGACAACATTATGTCAACAAATGGCGTCCATTCCTTAGACGGGAACAGGATTACTATTGTTTCCCGCAGGAAGATTTTGCCAAATTTTTCACCACGCCTTCCCTCCCCGACGCAGCAAAAGATAAGCTGGCGGCCGATGAGGGGAATTCGTCTTCCAGCCGGCCCTTTGTGGACAAGACGAGGGGCAAGCTTGAAGACACTTTGAAGAAGATAGACTCAGCTTCCCGTTTTGGCTTGCGTTCAACTTCATTCTTGCTTCTCCTCATGGAGTATTTAGCCTTAGGCTATGAGGACGAATCGCCGATTCCAGCGGACATGCTGACTGCGGCCCTTCATTGCCTTAACCATGGCCTTCGCACCGTGCTTGACCAGTTCGCATGCGTGTCGGCCTTGGCAACCTCCGCCCGCCGGGGTAACGTGCTTGACGCACTTTTCCTCCCATCGCGGGGTGCTCGCAAGAGACTTGAAACCCTCCCTTTGTCGGGTAAAGATCTCTTTGCTGGGAAATTCGAGGAACATATGAGAGATGAAGCCAAGCATCTGAAGGCTACTGAAAAGATCAACTTCAAGAAGCCTCCAGCCCCAGCGACCAAAGGACAACAGAATAAAGCCAAAACGTTGTTTGTTATCCCTCGACGCAAACCACTGAAATCTAGTCGTGGTGGTTTTCGTGGCCGCACCGATAACAATTCCGGTGTGCGTGCCACGCAGACTCGCATGTTCTCCGGACAGCAATGGCCGCAATCCGGCTGCGGCTTCCGGGCGTCTTGAGCACCCCCCCCCCCCACCTCTCAACCTCACCCCGAGTCTTCACGCGGTTAGTGAAGACAGTCGGGGCCGCACTACGAAAATAAGGGGTGATGATTTTCATGTACCTCGACAACTGGATCATCGTGGGTCCATCTCAGACGGCCACGTCAGCGGCACTCAACCGGACATGGCGTCTTGCGTCGGATCTCGGGTTTATCATCAACACCGAGAAGTCCCACCAACTTCCGTCCCAGTTCCCATTCTTTCTTGGAGCATCACTCGACCTCAAGAAAAGATTGGCTCGTCCTACAGAGGAACGGATTGTAAACCTTCAGAAATGTGTATCCCTGGCAGGCCTTTCTCAACGAGCTGCAGCCATTGCAGCCGGCAGCAGACGAGCATCGACCAGGAAAATTTATGACAGTAGACTACGCCATTTTTACAGATGGTGTAGAAGCCGATCTCTGCATCCCTCTGATACTTCTGTAGGGGAGGTTGCAGACTTCCTGGTATACCTTTTTGAAGGTAGCCTTACTACTGCCACGATTAAGAATTATCGTTCAGCCATAGCAGCTATTCATGGTGGCTTTACGGATGGTTCTTCAGTATCAAATAACCAAGCTCTCAGCCAAGTCCTCAGGGGAATGTTTGTTTCACGCCCCCCGATGCGTAGGTTATTACCGACATGGGATCTCTTCAGTGTTTTATCAAACTTAACGAGACCCCCATTTGAACCGATTGTTGCAACTGTCCATTAGGGTTGCCTTTCTGTTAGAAGTGACTACGTCTAGACGCCGTAGCAAACTGCATTCACGTACCGTAGAGACAGGTCACATCCGGTGGGAACCGGGGGGTGTGCGCTTGATCCCTAAAGCAGGGTTTTTGACAAAGAATCAGTCGGAGGATTTTTCTTCTCCTGACATCATCGATGAATCGAGGACAGGAACCGAATCGAGGACGACCTCGATTAGAAATCGTGTACAAAACCAATGAGAGCTGTTGCAAAAAACTTACAGTATAAACAAAGGAAAAGGGAAGAGGAACAATAAAAAATCCTTGATTTACACCATAAACAAACGTGCTAGTGTATGTGTATGTGCTTCTCGTTTTATAGGGTGGGGTGGGATGGGAGTAGGGGTTGGGTGAAAATGGGTAGGGGGAGGGTTGTGGTGGGTGGGGAGGGGTTGGGGTGGGGAGTTGGAGTAGGGGTTGTTGGTTGGAGTAGGGGTGGGTGGGGGATCCAAGGTAGGGGTGGGGTAAGG